TTTCCACATTGAAAAGTTAGCATAAAATAACTGAGGATAGATGTTGAACCTTGAGCACCAGTGAACATGCCCATAATAGCTGTACTAGGCAGTCCAAAGGCACATGGCAACTGCTAACAGTTTTGCACTAATTGAGGAAGAGATTTCTCTGCTCTGTTCAGAATAGCATGGGAGACTTTGTTACTGCTGCCCCTTTATTCTGAGAGCACGGCTAAAACTCCTTGGGAGTCACAGTCATATTGGAACATTATAGCGAGGGTTGAAACAAACAAACAAACAAATTGTACATGGTGGATCATTTTGTTCAAATTTATCCTCTTTACCCAGTAGGATAATAATTCTCAGGCACTTCTCAAGATAGGGCAATTAGTATAATTTACCCATTAAAAGAAAACCCTAGGAGTCTCTGCAAACGTTTTTTTGAGGTGGAAAGTAAAAAACACAATTCTTTTAGCAGAATTTGGCTGGCAATGCAAATCATGAAAGAAAAGGCAACACACACAAAACTGACAGTGTACCCTTAGTACACTGAATCACTTGGTTGTCTCAGTAGGTTTCAAGAAGTCATGCTAGTTCATGCCCCCAGTGATTATTCAGACTATTTTGCAGTGCTGCTGAACTATCTCCTCAAACTTTACCACAAAGACCACATGGGGCTGGCACCATGCGGGGCTGGAAGACTATAACCTGGGTAGTCCCACTTTTTATGTAACATGCAGCTGTCATATTTCAAGTGGATGACTGACTCACTGAATGCATTATCACTCCAGCTGACAAAATTGTACTGCGATTCCTTCCCTACTGGTGTCTCTGCACAAAAAGGCACACTTGTGGGGACAGACCAAGGCAGAAACTGCAGGTACTTTGAACTAAATGATTATCTCATGCAGCCAACAATCTGAATTAAGGTCTGCAGTATTTGCTTGCAGGAGAGATGAAAATCACTTACTCAAAACTGACAGAATGTAGAAGCTCTGAATATCTTGAATGGAGTTTCCCTTGTGTATCTTTTATATTTAAAAAGTTTGCATGATGATCAAATCTGTATTTATTTTCAGATGTATTCGAGCCTAAGAGTAAGTTTTGGGTGGATATAAAGCTTTGGCTGTCCTGTTTGTCTTATGTTTCATGCTCTATGCTTTATGGTTCATTCCATGATACTTGAGATTTGTTACTCCAGTCATATTTTACGGTGGGTCTATGATTGTATAAATAAATCTGAATCTCGGTCATATTTATAAGCTGTTCTTCCTAAGGGAAAACAAGTACAACGCATAATGTTTTTTTAAAAAGTACTGCTGAGAGCAACAAAGTGTGACAGAGCAATGGAATCCAACAGAACAACAAAACAATCCATTAGAAATAAAAACAGTGGCTGTAACATGCTGAAAAGCCTGGACAAATATAAAGTCTTTATCTGGCATTACAAAGCCAAGACATTTATGATGCAAAAGTGCACCAGTTGCAGACGTAATTGGGATGAAGTCCCACCGAACTCAAAAGAGTTTTTATAGCCGATATGTGTTGAATAATTATGGGCTGTCCAGTGAATCCCTGGATGACATCGTGGAAGAACGTTGCCTCAGGAGAGTGAGGAAAATTCTCAGGGATGATTCACACCCTGGCCGGCACTTTCTTGATCTCCTGCCCTCAGGCAGAAGATACAGAAGCATAATTAGTCGCACCAACAGGGTAAAGAACAGCTTCTATCCATGGACTGTTAGGCTGCTGAATGAAAAGGTAGCAACAGGGCAAGTGACTTTCAGTTTTGGTGGGTGTGCGTCAGTAAACGAGTGGAATTAAGACTAAAAGAGCTGAGTGGGGGGTGCTCGTGTAATCTCACTGTATACAAGTTGTACAAGTGACAATGAAGTATTTCAATAATTGCACTATAAGTCTAGTGCTAGGAAAAAGATCCCTAGGGAAGAAAATTTGAATGCAGGATGCTACAGCCAGTGAAGACCACTCCCTGGTTGCCCTCACATGGCATCAGAAGGTGAGGGGGCTGAGAGGAAGGCCTCTCGTGACAAATGTAACGGTCATTAGTTATGATGCTATTTTTAAGAAGAGAGCTAGCATGCAAACAGGATCCTGAATTAAGTAGGCATTAAGTCTGACCCAGAAGTACTCTTCTTAAGTTATAATATAATGTTCATGTGGTAGAACCAACTTTCCGAGACCTAGGTCCCGGGCTCGGAAACTAATTGGCAGCCAATGCAGTCAGGTCAGGATTGATGTTACATGTTCCAAACTGTCTTGTCCCAGTGAACAACTTGGCTGCTGAATTCTGCACCATCTGAAGTTTCCAGACTGTCTTCAGAAGCAATAACACATATGTGTTGCAGTAGTCTAACCTAAATGTTAAATATTTATTCAGTGCTGTTTTTGTTGTTGTTTAAAAGATGCTTTCTGTTTTCTGTTTTCACTACAGTTTAACTCAGGCTTCAATATGATATTTCAGTAGGATCCTACCATTGCAGCATTTTACCTAACTACTTCTGAACATAAATGACATTTATACACTTCGAACTAGGGATTCCACTGAAAATTTAAAGCAGATGTCAAGATTGTTCTTGAGGAGCAATCAGACATGTGGGATACCTAACTTTATCTTCACAACTAGTGTACATAGCAGGTGATATGGAGCCAAGGTTATCCAAAGAGCTTCATGGCAAAGGAAATTTTTAACTCAGCATTTAGTCTAGGGATGGGAAACCAGCAGCCCTCCACATGCCATGGACTACAACTCCCACCATCCCATGCCACTGGCCATGTTGGTAGGGGCTGAAGAGAGTGGGGAGTGGGAATTATAGTCCAAAAACAGTTGGAGACCCACTGTGGGAAACCCTTGCCCTAGGCCAAATATAGCACTCTAACCATTTCATCATAGTGGTTCATGTCATTGAGGAAAGCCAAGAAAGTTTGAGTAAGTCTGTTGAAATTTCTCAGGAGGTTTCTCACAGCCCTGCTTCCAAATAACTGGTCGGGATGCCCACGTCTTCATACTTTACTATCTTGGAAAGCAAACTTGCAGCAACTTTCAGGTGAAATATTAAAAGGAAATATGCAGAGGAAGCTCTAGGGCGCATGAAGACAATGGATGGGCTTGCTCAATGGCACCAGTTGGTGTCCCTTTAATTTAACAGGGAATTTTCCCACTTAGGACTCAGCTATATAGCTGCAAATAAAACATTTAAAGTGTGTTTTAAGTGCAATATACAGTGTCACACTAGATGGTGAGCCTTATGGAAAATTCAATGTATTTTTAAGAAATGCTTTAAAAAAAGCATTTTAGATTTTTTTACATACCGGTATATGTGTGTGTAGATGCCACCTTAAACACCAGGCTGTTTCATTTAATCTCAAACAAAAGGTATGTGATAGCACAACCAATGGGATCAAGTCTGAAACATTTTTTTTAAAAAAAAAATGAGTTGAAGCAGCCATGTTTAAGGCATGAGAAACCTACAACATTTCTGAATTTGCAAGTTATGAGCCAGCTTTCCCCAGTGAAAAAGGTCTGACAGTTGAACAATTAAGCAGGATCTGGCTGAAGTTCTACACACTGTAGTAAGATGGTTATCTTTTAAGAATGGCTGGCATTATAATAGGGCCTGAGGGACCACAATGTTATTACCAACTGATGCTAATCATCCAAAACCACCTAACTTTCCCTAATCCCCTTTCAAACTCTGCCACCACCACAAAAGCAGCCTGTTTAGTATTTCTGACACAATTTGGGAAGCAATTAAGGGCAGATAATCTAAAATGTTGTCAACGCGGTTTGAAGTCACTTTCCAAGATGTTCCTCGCACTTATCAAATTGTTGGTCAGTTAATTAAAAATGTTTTCATTTTGTTTATTTCCATCTACCAGTGTAAAGTTAGATATTTATCTTGCATCGGTGCCCAGAAAGTCCAGGGTTGACACCAATGAAATCTGAAGAGCAGTTAGGATCAGACTTACATCTTCAATTGCAAATAATCAAACACATCAAATTAAAGATGTCGACTAGCCAATCATATAAATTGTCCTACTTTTCCTTCATTCCTTCACCAGCAGGCCATTTGTAGAAGTCCAATAGATATAAACAAATTCAGAGACATTTATTTTCAGAGTGGTGAATTCAAACCACTTTGACCACACTTGGACTAGTAAACGTAAAGGGACCCCTGACCATTAGGTCCAGTCGTGACCGACTCTGGGGTTGTGGCGCTCATCTCGCTTTATTGGCCGAGGGAGCCAGCATACAGCTTCTGTGTCATGTGGCCAGCATGACTAAGCTGCTTCTGGCGAACCAGAGCAGCGCACGGAAACGCCGTTTACCTTCCCACCGGAGAGGTACCTATTTATCTACTTGCACTTTGACGTGCTTTCGAACTGCCAGGTTGACAGGAGCAGGGACTGAGCAACGGGAGCTCACCCCGTCGCGGGGATTCAAACAGCCAACCTTCTGATCGGCAAGTCCTAGGCTCTGTGGTTTAACCCACAGCGCCACCCGCGTCCCTACCTGCACCCTAAAATTAACATCCTCATAATCTACAAAGAATATTAAGACCCTTTTATCTATGCTCACTCAGCCTAACTTGCCGATTGTGGAAAACTGAATGCATTCAGAGGCATTACTTGGCTGGTTTCATACACTATAATAAATATTGAAGTTCAGTGGCTTAAATATTTACAGTACTTATTTACAGCTGCCAACACTTCTCGCATACAGTCCAGCTAATTAAATTAACTTGAAGTCCAGAGACAAAGCTCGAACACTTCCATTCCTAAATTAATATTTCTAAAGATTTAGACTGAAAGATTAATTACTGTGGTAAGCTAGCACTAAGGATTTTTGCCAAGTTACGGGAAGGCTGGGAACCTGACAATCAGATGAGCATTACTGGAGCTATAAAGAATGGCCCACAAATTTTATCACAGAAGATTCGTAGAGCTGGAAGGTACTCTGAGGATCATCAAGTCCAATCCCCTGCAGTGTAGGAATATACAGCTGTCCAGCTGGGGGATCGAACCTGCAACCTTGGGGTTATAAGCACTGTGCTCTAACCAACTGAGCTACCCCATGGCTAGATAAAACCACTGTTAACATTTGTAGTTGATCTTACTGTACTGTACTCAAGACGATAAAAGAGGACTGGATATTATTTATAGATTATATGAAAAATTACTATGAACAGACAATTAACCTAGCAGGATGTTAGTATTTTCAGCAGCATAAGTTAGAACTAAAATTAAAGGGAGAAGTAGAGAAAGATTGGAGAAACTAAGATGATGCAAAATGAACTGGAATATAAAAGGAACCAAGGAAGGAGAGGAAGGGAAGTCTGTCTGTGATTGTATTTTTGAATATAATAGAATATGTAATATGTAACTCTTTTTTCCTATTTTTTTATTACTTTCACTTTTTTCTTCTTCTGTTGAAATGTAGCAGAAATGCAAATAAAAACGGAAAGGAAAAAAAGGGTTAGACATATTTGTAGGGCTAGGATGGAAAACTAAGCAGCCTAAACTCTTCTTTTATTTCTAGATTTAGGTATGTAGCCATGTTGGTCTGACACAGTTGAGAAAAAATTGAAAATGGTCCATTAGCATGTTAGAGACCAACTAAGTTTGTTCTGGGTATAAGCTTTCATGTGCATGCACACTTCTGCACATACCAAAGGTCTTCTTTTATTTGTAAAGGAGCTGTGCAAATAGGACTCTTTATTCAGTAATATTAACAATAGCTAAGCCTATTATTGGTGCAATTGTCCATGAAATCACAAGCTCTGAAGCTCTTTAGCAAGATTTCCAATTATACTTTGCTCAGTACTGAAAGAGCTTGGCATTACTCAAAGATCTGAATGAGGCTTTATTTTCCAAACAGAAAAAATCCCTTTTGTCTGCCAAAGCCAAGAAAAAATATATATCTGGGGCAGCTCTTACAGAAGTTTGAGAGTGAGTTGCAGGTGCTGTGGTCTTCTAGCCACAGGCTATTACAAGAAGTACATCCAACAAAAGCTAACACCACATTAGAAACCATTTACACAGGTATCAGACAATGCGTTATCATCAGCAGGTGACTTGAGCTCAGTAGTCCCCAGCACCATCTCAAAAATATTCAAAAAGAAACTCTGCTCTTATTTTCTGTGCTGCCATTGCAGCAACAGATTTGTTAGCCAGCGTTTTTAATGCAAAGGGCCGCCATGGCAAATAAACAAGGATATGGGCATAGAAAATGTATTCCATTTACGGAAATTTAAACAATAAACATTCACTTTACATTGAGATTCTATGAGATCTCTCTTTAGTGACAGTATGAGCAAAACTAGATACAATTTGTAATACAGTAGTTGAACACCTCTCTAAAATGTACAGTGGTACCTCGGGTTAAGTACTTAATTCGTTCCAGAGGTCCATTCTTAACCTGAAACTGTTCTTAACCTGAAGCACCACTTTAGCTAATGGGGCCTCCCACTGCTGCCGCACCGCCGGAGCACGATTTCTGTTTTCATCCTGAAGCAAAGTTCTTAACCTGAAGCACTATTTCTGGGTTAGCAGAGTCTGTAACCTGAAGCGTATGTAACCTGAAGCGTATGTAACCTGAGGTACCACTGTATTGCAAACTTTTCTGATACAAGATAGCTATAAAAAGGTTTCACCCTAGGCATCAGCAACTCCAACCCCCCCCCCAAAAAAAAAATCATGTATGTAATTGATAGGTCTAGGTGGTCTGAAAGGTAATGTGGCAACTCTTCAATTCCCCTGGTAGTATGTATGTAAACATAACTCTCTCTCTCTCTCTCTCTCTCTCTCTCTCTCTCTCTCTCTCTCTCTGTGTGTGTGTGTGTGTGTCACTAAAATGGATAGTGCTGTCTATAGCCATCCCTTTCTCTGCCTTAGCCCCACATGGCTTCTTGGAGGTAAGCACTACTGAAGTCAATGGGGTTAATTTCAGAAATGTATGGGCCTGCACTGTAAATATGTAAAAAAATAAATAAGAGTTTCAGAGCAATCTGTAAAATACTAAACCTTCTAGTAGTAGAGCAGGTATTCAACAGAGGACCTGTTTGCAATATCTGAAGATGTTTGTAGTAGGGGTTTCCCAGGCAGTCTCTCATCCTGGTTCTTCAGCCATGTTTAGTTGTTGTACTTTGTTTTAGAGATAGTTCAGGCGTGCACAATTTTCTGGGTCAACTAACTGAGCGGGAAAGAACATTCCCGCAGAGTCCTTTTGAAATGGGTACCATCATCACAGTGGAGTGATAAAATGCTGCTTTTGCCAATGCTACCAGAATGAGTCCTGGGATACAGAGCTCGGTCCATAACTACACGGCTGCTTTGTGCTTGATTAGTTCTCTGAGAATATGTTAGCAGAGGGGCATTAGGCAGCTGGCATTAGACACACTTTTTAAGTTCAAAAAGGAATTTCAAAGCCACTTCAAAGTCCCCTTCTGCCAGACCCCAATCAAACAGAACAAAGGGATGAGGGCAACCAGTCAAAGGTGACCTCCCCCACAAATTATATTTCTTAAGTCTTTTGTGAGCTGAGCCCAAAGGCACAATTAAGATATTTTCATCTGTTACCAATTCTTTCTTTACTGATTTAAAAAAAAAACATTTGTGCAGGGGAATTAACTGTGACAACACATCCTAGAAGAAATGAATCAGTGTCTTTGCAGTAAGAAATATTAGGTGAATATCCTTCGCTGGCTACAAAGATCTGTTAATTATGCCCCTTAACATTTTCTGCAAATACAATCCAGGCTTAGTCATGCTCAGAGCAGATGCTCTGAAATCAATGGGACTTATGGTAGTTGTGACTAACTTAAGCCTGGCTGGTTTAAATGGGTCTGCTTTATTTATTTATTGCACTTGGATCCTGGTCCTTGGCTGAAAAGGCTCCCAGAGTGGCTTGCATATAATCAATTAAAGCCAGAAAGTCCCTGTCCCCAGAATTGCAAACTAAAAGATACAGTCTTCAAAGGAAAAGAGGAGGGAGGGAAGGAAAATTAAGGTGCCAAAGTTAAACAAAAGTTCTCATAATCACCAGCTGGAATGGAAACTCTAAACACAACGAAGGCTTAGATCCTAACTTCAATTAGCTGGAAGCAGACGCGCCAACTCGAGGGGGTGGAGGTGTTGCCAGCCCCCTCAATAATCATTAGCAAGGGGCTCTGCCCCCCTGAGCACATGAGAGGTGGAGCCACGGTCATTGAAGCTGCGTGGTACTGGGCAAGGCCTCCTTCTGAAGACAAGGCGTGACGTCATGCACACACTGCTCCACTGCCACCAATCTTCGGCCCAAGGCAGTGCCTCTGGCTGGGAGTAGGTCTCACTGAATTCAGTTGCTTAGTAATGAGTAGACTTGGTTAGGCTTGAGTTCTAAGTCTAGAGCTGACCCGATCTATCCTGATGGATGAAGAAGAAACCCGCAAAAAGTTTATCAGTGTACAGTGGTACCTTGGGTTACAGACGCTTCAGGTTACAGACGCTTCAGGTTACAGACTCCGCTAACCCAGAAATAGTACCTCGGGTTAAGAACTTTACTTCAGGATGAGAACAGAAATCGCATGGCGGCAGCGGGAGGCCCCATTAGCTAAAGTGGTACCTCAGGTTAAGAACCGTTTCAGGTTAAGAACAGACCTCCAGAACAAATTAAGTTCTTAACCCGAGGTACCACTATATTTTCTTGTAATAGCTTCTACTCGGTATAAGTTACTACTTTTGCAATCCTGCCCATGTTGGTTCAGAAATACCATTGTGTACAATGGGGCTTCTTACTTCCAGCAAAGCCTAAGGCTACAATTTTATATGAACTTACTAAGAAAAAAGCTCTCCTCCCCATCCAATTTACTTTCAAGTAGAACATAGATAGTGCTGAATTGCAGAATGCTAGTTTATTTGTTCCTAACTTCTACTGCAAGGGCGAGGAGCCTGTTTTGGTCCAGGCTTCCCATTCCCAGGCCAATCTATGAAAGTTAACGATGATCTCAATGGCAGCGTCATTCCTAACGCTGCTGTTCCATATTGAGCGAGCGTCGTTTGATTTGTTACATGTCATTTACAGCTGGTGGTGCAATGTTTAAAGTAATTGATGTCATGGCAATGCTTGTCATCAAGACATATTTATCAGTGGAGACTTGCAGCTCAGGAAAGCTGCATTAGCGTCTTTAGTGTTTTGTTGGGGAGGTGAAACATTTTAACAGACCCATACTTGATATACGGTCATATAAAAAGAAACAAGCAGAGCGAAACACCGTTCAGGTTAAGATAAAACTGAGCACATGCAGTACAGAGAACCGTACACTGGAAAGTAAAGGAAATATCTAGGTATAACCAGTACTAAGGGTTGGGTCAAAGTAAAGGGACTTGATTTAAGGAAAAGATTAAATTAATGGTTTGTCGTCAGAAGCATCAGTGTCACTGTGCTGTCAGGTAAGGAATGTCCAGAGTGAGGAATTAGCTCTTTATTGCTAAAAGTACCATTACAAATCAGGAAAAGGCGTTTCCACCAGTCTTCTCAGCTACTCCTAGGTGTGCACCTGATGAGGAAGTTGCTGCAACAGAGAAGCCCCAACCTCGGCTTATGTATCTTCCTCACCCAAGCACAAGCAGGTGAAGACTGGCTCTGAATGCAACCTACTTCATCTCCTCCCTCTTCAATCCTCTCCTGGTCCTAGAAGACAGTGGAGCAGGAGAGGTGGGAGCAAGAGTGGGAGGTGTGGAAGCTCTTCACTCTACACCAGACTGACCCATCTCTCGCTCCTCCAGCACTTCTTCTTCACTCTCCAGTCCTGCAGCTTCTCCTTGCCTCTGACTCTCACCTCGTGGCTGTTTCAGGCTCCCCCAGACATAGCTGTCCCTTATTTGGCGGGAAACTCCCTTATCCCAGAGCCGTTTCCCGCTGCTGTCTCGGACTGATGATGTCCCTTAAATTTCCCGGGTTTCAAAGGAAGCAGCTCCTCTCCCTCCCTCCCTGCCAGCCAGGGAGGAGGGAGGCTCCAACTATGTTGCTTGGCTGCGTTGCTCACCCAATAAGGAGTCTAAGAATGACTGGGGGGTGGAGCTTGCATGCCTTGCACCCG